CAGGCTTTGGCGTCACTCCATTTGACTTGAAGTGCAAGAGGCAGCAGACAGGGCCCTCGATAGCAGCGAATAAACATTCACATGAGGGAAACTAACGTGAACCTGGAATTAACCCTGGACTTTAAATCAGGGGGAAAAATATTTTTTGCAAAACCTAGAGGCACAGAAAGCAGAACCTGAGATGTTTACACCAATGTGAGAAAGATTTCGAGGCATGCAGTTTTTTGGGAGGGGTTGTAAATACACTGAGAAGTACCAAGGCAAACCTAGCTGTGTCTGTATCTCCAACAGAAATCAAAAACTTGTACTCGTGACAGTAACTGGTTATCTGGACATTCTGAAAACACGTGCTCCTGTTGTGTTTCTAAAATGTGCCTCAGGAAAAATGACTTCCATTGAAAAGAGTTGGCGACAGAAATCTTAGAGACAGATCTATAAATCTTATCAGATAAAATGGCAACAACCTGCATAGCTGGAGAACAAACCTGGGTTCTCACAAGCTTTACAGGTGCAGGTAGGTAGATTTAGTTTCCTTTGGGTAGAACCAGGCAGCACCGTTTTTACAAACTAGTCCTTCAAGCATCAAAGTTAATTCTTTACTTTAGAAAGAAAGAAAGAACAAAAAAGTATAAGTACATATGCAGCTGAAGTCTGCATCATTCGACTGAAAGCTCCAGATAGAGCTTTAATCTCTCCATACATTACACAGCAATGACACCAGAATGCAAATCATTTGAGATTCCTCCACCCAGTGTGTACTTTCCAACACCAGGGGATGAATACAGAGCGACTTGAGTTTCCCAAAATTCTTGAGCGGGGGGACTCTGATTCCCATTAGAGCTGTCCCGAGGTGATCTCAGCTAATCGCATCCACACCCCCTCTTCCTCTGTATCGAGCTCGGTCTCGCAGCAGCACAGAGGTGAGGTGGGTTCAGAGCTGTAGCAGAGAGCACACAACACAAACACAACAGCAGAACAGGTGAATACAAACTGTAACACATTGTTGTTCTTGAAAGAAACTTGCTTAGGGCTGCACTGACTTGATAAAAGTGTGAGGGTGGGACTGTGTGTTTTTTTATTTGGTATGTGTTAGGGTGTGTTTACTACTTATACATTGATTAAACTGCAAAGTGTGTGTGTGTGTGTGTGTGTGTGTGTGTGTGTGTGTGTGTGTGTGTGTGTGTGTCAGCATGAACAGGCAGGATTCCAACAACTGTACTTCAGGACTAACAAGTATGGCTTTTGTTGCAGTATCTCAGAAATGCACACGCACACACACACACACACACACACAAACAACCTCATGTGACATAAGGTATTCCTAATAAGAGCAGCTGCTACTTCTCTCAAAGGTGTTGCCACTTGCTAGAGGTGACGCATGTACCTAACATTATATTAACAGACACACACAAAAGGTGAAAGAAACAATATTGTTAGGCAAAAACTCTTTTCTTCCACAAAATAAGAAACTCCACATTTAGCCTAAGACGTGTCATGGTGCAATGATCCGATCCATCATTGATTAACTAGGGCAACGTTTACGTTTTTACTCAGCAGAACATCGGGTGGTTTCCCCACTGAGGCGTGGTGAAGAAGCCGTTATAAAACGTGTGCCTGTCATCTGTCTTGAATTTGCATATCTGAGGCGAACGCAGCTCTAAACCTGTTGAAGATGCAGAGACTCTGTCGAGTGCAGCCTTTGAAGATAGTGTGCTCGTGTCCCTTCAGAAGAAGAAGAAGCGCTGCGGCTGTTCTAACAACTCTCACAAATGTGATTTCAAAAAGCGTAACAAGTGCCCTTCAAGCTGCACAGAACAAATGAAAAATCAATTCTGCAAGAGTCAGTCGTGTTGAGGAGACAGAGGGGAGCAGCAGTGATAACCCGACTGAAGCACGAGAATCGCTCTCTCATTTTTTATTCTGCTTATCTGTCATACCCTCCATCGCATGACTTTTTTCTTGCTCAATCCCCGACTTCACTTGATTGAAACTGTTTCTTTGTTTCATTTGATCTGAATCATTTAATCTGAACAAGCAGAGGAGCCAAGTCACTTCGAATTCAACTGGAGTGAACAAATGCAAGTAAGCGCAAGTTAAATAGAAGGATACTGGAAGAGTGTACACGTCCACCAAGGCCAATGCTCATGCAATATGCAACTTCACCCATAGATGTCATGAAATCCTACACACTGAACCTTTAAGTTCACATGAAATCCCCTCCCGCAAACACAAGGGAGAATAATTACATTTAGCACATTTTGTATCGCCATCACCAATTCAGTATTTTCTATTTTCACAACAGAATCCAAACCAGACCCTGACATTCAACAAACATTCAGAGCTCTGGTAGTCACAGCAACACACTCTTCCTCCAGACTGGATCATCCGTCTAATTACCTGAGGTGTGTGTGTCTCAGATAGACGTGGGTGTCAAACAGGGCCGGGTAATTGCAAAAACCTGGGGTGCAGAGCCTCACACTCCACTGTTTGCCTACCAATGATGGGGATGGGGTCCTCGCTTGTTGAAGCTTAAGTGAGTGTGAAATGTTTGTCGTCTCCTAAACGACGTCCTGACAGCCTATGATGAAACTCTACTTTCACAGCAACCACACAGAGCGCGATTATACTGCGTCCTTACAGCAGCAGGACCTTCAGGCCCAGTACAGCAGCATCACTGTGTTCTCGCTCAGCCTATCACACACATTAAGACCTGGTTTACTGAGTCAAATCACAGGCAGATGTTCGGCCTCCTAAACAGGGAACAGCTAAGGTCACGATGAAAATGACTTTCCACGAAGTCATTTTACCACAAGGTCAAAATACAATGAGAGTTACAGCGGCCTGCGGAGGATAAATTGTTCTGTTCCTAAGTTGTTTCCTGAAAGCGATCGGCCCTTTTTAGCTCTGCAGAGGAATTTTTAGGATGAGGCTGACCTACGAGTTCAACGTGTAACATTTATAAACCAATATCAACATCAGAGACAGAGACAGAGATTCTTATCATACCCCCTGAATAAGTCAGTGGCAGGCGTACTGGACCTTCGTCGTCATGGTAACGACAGAAGGAGTGTTTGGTTAGTTTTTGGCATAAATCTACTTTCTGTTCTTTGAATTTGGGGAAACATGAAGGAGAGGATTCTCATGTTAACTCGGTTGTTTTGCTCCTCACGCTCCGGTCACACTTGCAACAGCTGCAAGTAAACCCAACCTTGTCTCTATCCAAATACCAGCATTCGCAGCATGATATGAATAACCTGGAGTTCAAACTGTCACAAAACATGTGCCGTGTTGCTGTCCCCTGACACTCACCTCCGCACGGTCAGTCGCTCAAAGACTGACATGGATTCAGACATCCAGCTCTGGCCCTTGACTTTATGATGACAAAGGGCCGAGCATTTTAAACCAGTTTATTTAACATCACTGCAGCCATTTGCTTTCTCTGCTGGATTTAAACAGTGAATGTGTTGTATCAGCCATGTGATGTTTGAAAAGGGCCTTTTTTATTTTAGTCATGGTCACGACTATTACCAGCTTCACCAGCAAGGGAGGGGTGGGTGTGTGTGTGTGTGTGTGCATGCGTGCGTGCTTGCGTGCATGTTATTTGCCATGCTGCCATTAAAAGATGTCAGGGAAATACCAATTTGATTCAATGTTTAACACACAACACAAGGAAGCAAATTGTATTTGCCGAAGTGGATGTCAACTTTGTGTGAGAGCTGCAGGAGATGTACTGCCAACAGCTCCTATTGAGCGGGAGGCTTTCTATCGCTGGCATTTTGCTCTATGTGCCTGTGTGAGTGTATATGTGTGAGAGTGTGTGTGTGTGTTTGAGTGTGTAGAGATAGAAAGAGACAGACAGACAGAGAGAGAATTGCAGGGGGGAAAAAAAGAGAGAACTCGAGTAGAACTGACAGACTGTGAAAAAGGGTGTTTATTTTTTTGGCAGGTCGGCAGAGAGGAAATTCTTATTTACAATTAAAGAGAGAGATGTGCAGAGAATCTGGTCTGTGTGTGTGTGTGTGTGTGTGTGTGTGTGTGTGTGTGTGTGTGTGACAGACATCATATATGCACATACAGCATGTGTGTTTATTCATGCATGCACAACTTTGAGCTGGGCTGTATAGAGGGACAAGAACACTGACCAGGCCGTGTACTTGTCAGTGTCAATGAGGACTATTTGTGCACGTCTGAGGATGTCCAGGGGGGGGGGGTTCAGTGGCATCTACACATGATCATCCATTTACAGTGCACAGAGTGACGTGTGTGTGTGTGTGTGTGTGTGTGTGTGTGTGTGTGTGACTTAAAACTGTACCATGCTTGTCACCACAGGGCAAGAACTTGATTTGCATCTCAAAAACAAGTGCAGCTACATCTCACAGTTACGAAATACCATATAGTTTCCCACTAATGTTCTGCCAAGCCTTAAATGAACTAAGCAAACAGAGCAGAATGCAAAGTCATATCTGATTTCCTGGAGGGATGCGTACGCACTGTAAACAAGGAGGAATAGAGAACAAGAAATAGAGAAAGAATAAACTCAAAATATGATGGGAAAATGTAGGTTTGTAGTGGTGGAGACCTGAAGGTAACACCAAGGTCACACAGTTATCTTTTATATCCAGTAAAACACAAGGAGGGTCTACTGCAGCAGACGGAATGATGGGGAAATAAGCAGGAGACTATCAAGCTTTAAATGAGGAATATGCAGGATTATCATGTGCAGATGCATTCAAACGAGAACATCTTCTTTGCAATCCAATGCATCTGCAGCAGCAACCACAGGGGAAAACATGATATGAGGTTTCTTTTCTTTTTTTTGCAAAGGCAACAAGTCTCTTCTCAGGCTCTGCTGTCACCGCTGCAGGTTTCACTGCGACCGCTGAGGCTGCCGCAGTCAGTGAACTTTCCTTTCACACAGACACACACACACGCTGATGAAGACAAAACCACAAGACAACACAACTTTTAAACAGTCATGTTGGGATCTGTGGGGGACTCACCAGTCAGACAGGGGGGGAGACACGGAGGAGGACCCGTCCACAATCCAGCATTCAGCGGCTGCTGGAGGAGAAAGTGCTCCGGGTCTGTTCACCGGGTCTTTATCTTTCCTCCTCCCGGTGTTGCCCTGAAGAGAAGCGGCTCATGTGTTCGTCTGCGGCGGCTACAAGGGGCGAGGAGTCCCGCTGCTCCTTCTCCGGTGGTGGTGGTGAGGAGACACCGAGATGTTCAGTTCACTCTGCTCCGCTCAGAGCTCCGCCAGTCTGCAGGAGGAGGAGGAGGAGGAGGAGGGCCGGCAGAGGCTCATGGGAAGTGTAGTCCGCAGCTTCAATGACAATACTGCATATACTGCAGCTTTACTGTGGATGAGTCCTCTGCAGTCACTAGAACTCTGGTTTATTTCTCCACATTCACAGATATATAATCAATCAATCTTTATTTGTAAAGCACCTCTCGAGCCAAAAAGAAAGTCAAAATGCTGTGCAATAGGATTAAAAAGCTATAAAAGAAATACAAATCAAATCAAATTATAAAATGAATGAAAGAAAAAACAATGAGCAAAAGATAAAATAAATTAATAAAAGTAAAAGCAATAAATTAAAGAAAATTGCAATAAGTAAAATACATACGTCAATAAATATGTGGGGGGAAAAATCAATAAAAGGGAATGAAACACTATAAAGAACCTGTCAAACTGGATATTGTATTTGATAGCTACACATTAAATTTCATTACGACATAAAGTAGCTTATAGACAAGAAAAGAGAAGTGGCGAGGCCACATCTCTTTACTGGGAAGTGAAACATAATGAACAAATGAAATAATCTGAATACCGGTAGTTTCTTTGCTTGTGTGAAGGTTAATTCACGTTTATTAAAGGTGTCCTGCTCTCTGACGCATCTGCAGGAAGATTTTAATTTCATTTGATCTAAAACGATGAAAAAAATCTAATAATATTCATAACCAACATAAAAACGATATATAGCTCATAAGAGTATACAGTATAAAATAATGCTGTCAAACCTTTTTATATTAATAATATTCAAAACCAAAACAACATAAAAACGAGTTTATGAGCTCCAGGATTTATGATCTTCACCCTCACGACTCCTGCATGTTCCTGGTGATCAGTTTGGATAGCGGCTGGTGTAATGAAAACAGCACCAGTGCAGTGCTACTTCCTGGTTGGCTGCGTATTCATCCAGAGTGGGGAACACCTTCTCTCCCATCTCATTCTATTCTCCACTTTCACACCTACAGTGGAGATGGTGTTTAAACCCCTAAACTAACAGTTGTGGTGTATTGGACCATGTTGTAAGAGAAGTAGCATAGACTAAGAGCACTAGTAGTTTGAAAAAGACATGTTGAACAGCCTAAATCTGTTATTTCATGATGAAAATAATCTATATTTCATAACTTGTTGTCATGCTCAGGCCTTGATAGATGAAACCCTGCAGCAAGACAATACAGTTTTTTCTCTGAGGTCAACTGTCCCCTTGAGCATTCATTGTTTCTGAGTGCCCTCTCACCCACTTTCTTATTACTGAACATGTTGTACGACTACACTTGTGTACAAGTGTGTGTGTGTGAGTTTGTGTGTGTGTGTGTGTTGTAAGGTGGATGGATGTGGGGTGTGTATAGGAAATGCTTCTGCCTCTCAGTAGCCATGTGTGTCTAAATTTAGAGCCCCGAGCCGCCACTGTCTAACTGTCACAGGCTGGGGTCGGATTGTCGGCCGTTCAGGAAAGAGAGTTGCAGCTTGTTGAAGTCAGGATAAATTGTGCAAGCTGGGGCGTGCATGACACTTTTTGTTCGTCAAACTTAAAAACAGTGAGGCTATAAATACACAGCGAAACTGCACAGGAACGAAAGGAAGTGCAAATATTCAAGTGTTTCACAGAATGTGTACATGAACTGGTTTGTGTGTAATGTTTCCTCTTTCTTCTCTGGAGATGTTTCCTCTCTTGAAACTTAATTATCAGTTTACTGAGATCAAAACAAACTAATTTACTTCACAGTGAGAATAAATGGCCGAGGCATGAATCCACACCCACTTGGTCTCAGTTTCCACTCCATCCACATCCACAGAAAATCCAATTTGACAAGCTTCCCTATGCAAGACTTGCAAAATGCCCGTTTTGATTTGAGGCTTGGAAGCTCCTCTCTTGCAGGCAGACACTTATTCATTTCACAGAAACAATTCAAGCCATGATTGAATTTGACTCAAGTGCTAACTCAGTCAAAACTTCAAATGCATTTCCTTTACAGACCTGTTTTATTTTTTAAAAACCCTGACAGGCTTCTGACCTTAGAGTGCAGGATGTCGCAACGGCCGGGGACCATTTCGTCTATTTGATTATGAGATGTGTCGGTTAGATTGTCTATTTGGAGAGCAGCACCTCCTTTATTGACTTAGTGCTTGACAGACCCCACCATCCTAATTCTGTTCTGTGACACTGCTTGTCAGATGATCACAGGAAGGTGCCACAGTCACTTTATCTCAGTTTCATAAATGAACCTTGTCTCTATGAAGAGTTTGCTGCTGTGTACACACCAGTAACTGTATTTAAAAATAACCTAGAGGAAGGTAATGACACTTGTGGTGATTTAGATTTATTGTTGTGTGTTTGCATAGACAATGACATTACAGTAGAGAGCAAGAACCTGATTGTACAACAGTGACGACTGCAGAAAACCAAAAAGTAAAATCTCGTCACCTTGTGTTGGAAATATATTTACACACAAGACTCACCACATATATTCCATCCATCATCTTTACAGCTTTTCCTTTGTGGGCCACAGAGCTGGAGCCAATCAGCTGGCATTGGGTGAGAGGCGGGTTACACCCTGGACAGGTCCCCAGCAGAACACTGGGAGACACAAAGAAGCTGGGATTCAAACTGGGAACGTCACAACATCACAGCTAATACATTTAATACCTCACCTGACAAACACAAGATGCAACACAAGTGTTATTGTATGAACGTGGAATAGATAATTGAAAGTAAGATGAAGAAAAGTATTGAGTACATAAAAAGTGGGTTTTTTGATTTAAATACAATTCGAGGTTGTTGGTTTTGTTTTTCTGAATAAATAAATATAACATTATTAAAATTAATTAGGCACAAACGCATTAATATTAATATAACCAAACTTATTGTTATGTTAAATAATCAGATAAACCCCATTCATTACTTATCTGTACCTGTTTACCTGTTTGTTCTTCTTCCTTCACTCGATTGCCTGACTTACTCGATCCTCTGGCGCCCCCTCGTGGCCTCTTATGAACAACACCCGTCTCCGTGGAGGTCAGAGGTCAGTGCAGTAAAGATGGCGGCCCCCGGTAAAGCCTCCGTGCTGCTGAAAGCTGTGAAGACAATAACGGTCCGGTTCTGTCCGTTCGAGTCCAATGTCCGGTCCACGCGGTAAGAAACGTGCGGGTGAGGGGACGGGTCGTGCGGCGGCGCCATCTTGTCTCGGCTGGAGTGTGGATAAGAGCAGATTGACAGAGAACACTGTTCTCAGATCAGTGTTTCAGACACAGGCAGGTTTCATCTCAGCAGGTCTGGAGGTCACTGTTACTCACAGAGAAGTGATCATCAACAAGTTAGATGAAGCTGAAGTGACGCTGGTGACATCTGTGTTTGTGTTTACTTTGTGAGGTCACATGTGTTGTTATGTTCTTTATGTTTATATCTTCTCTGGACCTGGTTGTTAAAGCGAATTCCTTATCTATCTATCTATCTATCTATCTATCTAGCTATCCGTCTGTCTATCTATCTATCTATCCATCTATCTATCTATCTATCTGTCTGTCTGTCTGTCCTTCTGTCCGTCTTTCCGTCCATATATCTGATATATATATATCTGTACTGCGTCTACTCTATATCTATCTGTCTACGCCTGTTATGCAGGCATGTAGTATTTCAGTGTCACTGCAGTGGAACTTATTTGAACTACTTTCAACAATCTCTGATAGTTTTACTCAAAGAAATATGTTCAAATTTAGATATTGATTGTTAAACCTTCATTTGTAAGTGTAACCACTAACCACATATGTGATTTAGATGTATAGATTATAGTTTATTGAGTACAACCAGATTAATTAACGATCCTGTCAGTGGACTCTCAGAAATCAGACAAGGAGAATAAGAATGTAACAGATTTAAACCTTTAAAATGTGTTTGAATTAATGGACATACTTAATCAAACAGGGAGGTAGCTCATTTAGTTTTTTAATATATATAAAATATAAAATGTGTTAGGTGATGTACTGTTGGATGTAAACATGAATATTCAGTTCATATAAGATGCTGATGGTCACTGAGGTCCAGGCAGTCAGTGTATAACAAAGATCCTCTCTCTTATGGCTCTGGGATTGAAGATGCTGTGTCTTTTTATAGTTACATTTAAAAGTATCAGAAAATGGAAATACTCAAAGTAAAAGTACCTCAAAATGATACTGAAGTGCAGTATATAAAAGACATTGTACTAGTAACTTTACTTTTGCCCCTCAGGGAGTTTCTGGCTGCAGTGGGCTCAGAGAAGGCCCGGTCGACCAACATGAACTGTGAGGTGATATCCATGGTAAAACACGACAGGTCTGAACCAGTGGTGGACATTACTTATGGTAAGTATTATCTGACCACGTTAAACTGTGGAGGAAAATATATTTCCAAGTTAGACTGTAGCTCATACACTTTGATTTCACGACTCATGCATTTACTAGAACGTTTTTCACATGAGCAGATCTTTGAAGGAATTGAGGAAAACACATGAGAAAAAAAACTGAAACTGACACAAGCAGAATAACAAAAATCGATGTCATGCATCTGACGTGTTTGAATACATTCTTTTTAATGAATTTACAAAATGATTTATTAAGAAGAAAATATGTGGTTTGTTTTTACATACATTTCAAATTGCAAGTGAAGCTTACAGATCCCTGTAATGATTGTTACTTGTTTTTTCTTTGAGACATGTCTTTGCTGAAAGACAACATGTAAAAGTAAACAAAGCTTATGACATACTACAAATGAACCATCACTTTCCCACACACGTCATGAATCAAGCGCTCACCAGAAGCAGAAATATCCGCCACAGGTCAGCCGAGTATTGCACGGAGGAAACAGAGTGTGTGGCTTGACTTGAGCTCAGGGTGAACTGAAGTACTTCTTATACACAGATGTGTCACTGTGGCTGTGTGAGTCATCTCACTTTGTCTTTCCCCACCACAGCAGATGGAGAGAGGCTGGTGATGAAGGGGGCACAGTTGACCAGCAGCGAGATGCTG